ACAAAAGTGCTTCCAGTTGGTGTGCATGTTCCTCCATTCAAACATGGTGAACTAGAGCATGGCGATACTAGATCAATACAATTAAAGTATTGATGCGCAATCATTATATCAAAATCCTATGATATAACAAGGTTATTATGGTTCCTACCTTGATCTTTCCTTGAAAATGTTTTGAAGAGTATAACAAATAATTGTTTTGGAAAATTTTGCGCTTACCTAGGTGTATAACTAGGCATAAGTAAAAGTAGGCACAGCAAGGTTGTTTTTTAGGTAAATGATGTGCTTAGAACTGTGTCAGATACTTATGTTATAAATATTCTAGAACATTATTTTCATCACAACAATACGTTCCTTTCTCGAAGTTGACTCTGTTAGACTAAAAATAAAAAAAAATCTTCTTTTATGTCAATATAATTTCAATCGAAAAATTGTCATCATATCAACTTCTGAATTTTAGTAAATAAGTATCTTTGGAATAATTTTAACAATATTTCTGACCTTCGCGTCAACAGCAATTACACCCTTTGCTGCCTTGGAGCATACATTGCAAAGTTGTATATGGAATGCAATTTTCTTATTTCTTTCAAACCGTGCGAAGCCCGAATTTGTGGTTTTGAAACACCACCAAGTAATGGTACACATGTATTAATATTTCGTAAGTTCTGAATGATTAAAAAAAACTCCATATAAAGACCAATATAGAAGGGTTTAACTAAAACAATCTTGGATTTTGTTCTGGGAAATGTATCATAAAGCATACAACAAAACGTTGTCATTGGGTGACAACATAAGGAGCAATACATATTCAACCACTAACATTAATAAAGTGACGTTCTTTTTATTTTGCTGTACGAACAATGTAATTCGCCTTTTCAGAATCTAAAGGACTATGGGTAATCTGATTGTTCGTACACCAAAATGAAAATAACGTTACGTCATTGGTGGGATTTCCATTGTTTAGAACGTTTTAAACCAATCACAACGTTTTGGTGTACGCTTTTGAAAATATTACCCAGAATGCATTAGATTCTGAAACAGCGAATTACCAATAGTCCTATACATTCTAAAACGGCTAATACACAGATTTGTCGATCGTAGGAGAATTCAGATCAAACAGTCTATGCATTCAACCGGTGTATTTTTTTCTGAAAGATATTTTTTGAGATATTTCATGAGTATGGGTAGACAATAATGATAAAAAAAATAGGAGATCACCGACTTCATGTTGTCTCATTATGAATCTTTGTTTCTGTATTTTTCATTAAAAGGACTTTCCTTGGTTTTATCTCAATAAAATATATAACCCCGTACCATAATTCGCTTCTCATGTTTAACAGATGATTTGTAGAATCTCCATTAAAAGCTCTAAAGCGTATGTCCGACGGTTCTCTGAAATTTAGATAAGGATTTATTTTGTTCCAGCAAAAACATAACATGCAAACATGTTGTACTTTTCCAGAATTAAAATATATCTACTGGTTATCTAAATTTATCGATGGATTTATCGATAGATTGAGAAAAGGAAAAGTCTTTTTTTACAACGAGAGCACATATTGAAAGCAAAACGATACTTAGGCCTGCATATGTATAAATACTAAAGCTAACCAAAACGGTTAACTGTTTATTTACGTAGTCGTCTTTAGCATGAACACAAGAAATATGTCAGATAACAGATACCACATAAATCGAAAATAAACTGACAACAACATGTTCTAAAAAAGGAAAAGACAAACTGACAAGCAATAGTACACAAAACACAACTTGGAAAACTAAGGACTAAGCAACACGAACTCCACCATAAACTGTGTGTGATCTCAGGTGATCTGGAAAGGTAAGCAGATCCTGCTCCACATGTGGCACCCGTCGTGTTGCTCATGTTAGTACAAACCCGTTAACAAGTCTAAATCGGTTGGTCACATTCGTAAAAAGGGAATGCGATTGCAGGTACGATATCAGGAACATATCCGCTATCATCTTTTAAACGGATATTCAATAAATGTGTGAACTTTCCATTTCTAAGTAGCAACATTCCAGCAGCGCCTGCATACGGAGATTATATCTCCCGGTTGATACGATAATCCAGGGCTTGTATTTCCTATCATGATTTCCTTAAAAGAGTGTTGCTGGTCACAATGAAGCTTTTAAACCAAGAGTTCCAAGTGGTGAAGTTGAAATCATCCCTTTGTAAGTTTTATAGACGCTACCACGAGTTGGCTGACCTTTATAGAAAATCCGTATCAAAATTTTTGGTGGGGTTCGTGTTCCCAGTCTCTAGGTTTCTATATTGTGTTTTGTGACCTATTGTTTGTCTGTTTGTCTTTTTCCGTTTATAGTCATGGCGTTGTCAGTTTATTTTTGACTTATGAGTTTAAATGTCCCTCTGGTATCTTTCGCTTTCCATTCACACACTTTATTTTTTGTTGGTCATCTTTGTTTTGTAATTCTATGTGTTATAGGATTTCACATATTTAATGTATTTTGCGGAATATTGAACAAATGTTTTATAGGGGCTTGCATTTATCGTGATTTTACCACGGGTTTGCCCTTCAAAAGTCATGAAAGGGGTAAAATATGAGCATAGAGTGCCAACCTGTTGGAAAATCAATATGAATGCAAGCCCCCAAGTAAAATCACAAAAATACTGAACTCCGAGGAAAATTCGAAACGGAAAGTCCCTAATCAAATAGCAAAATCAAAAGCTCAAACACATCAACCGAATGGACAACAACTGTCGTATTCCTGACTTGGTACAGGTATTTTCTTAATTAAAAAATGGTGGATTAAACCTGGTTTTATAGCTAGGTAAACCTCTCACTTGTATGACAGTTGCATAAAATTCCATTATATTGACAACGATGTGTGAACAAAACAAACAGACATAATAGGTAAAAATGTCAAAAATAGGGGTACAACAGTCAACATTGTGTCATTATCTTAATCACATAAAAAAACAAACAAATATGTAAACAAACATTGGCACAATAACACAATGATGGGATGTATAAGTACAGAGCCACGTCATATGTATCAAAGAAACACAAAAAGGCATATAGAAAAAGCATATTAGCTTAAATGAAAGATAACAATACAAAAGTTATCATAGAACAATAACACAATGACGGGATGTATAAGCACAGAGCCACGTCATATGTAAAAAAGAAACACAAAAAGGCATATAGACAAAGCATATAAGCAATATGAAAGACAAGAATACAAATGTTATCATAGAACAATAACACAATGCCGAGATGTATAAGTACAGAGCCACGTCATATGTAAAAAAAAAAAAAAAAAAAAAAAAATATATTAGCAAAAATGAAAGACAAGAATACAAAAATCATCATAAAACAATAACACAATGACGGTATGTATAAGTACAGAGCCACGTCAAATGAATACCACCAAAAACAGACTAATCAGTAAAAGTAACATTCATAAAGAAAAATATATGAATACTATAACATGTTATTAAGATAATAAACAACGTCAGTACCCAGAATCTATACTTCAAGACCATCGTGTATTATTTGTGAAGTTGATACGGAATATTTATCAACAAGATCTTGATACCTTTCGATGAACTTTAAAAAAAAAAGGACGTGACGTTCTTTGACATACCCCTGGTTCATCAACTTTCTGCTCAGACACTGGTAACGTTTTACAAAGTCTGAGTAGTTGCTGCATGCTCTTGAATACCGAAAAAGTTGAGAAATCTATATTCCATATGCAGGTGAAGTTGCAATATTGCTACTAAAGTGGGGGAAATTGATAATTTCAAAATCAAAATCGTATCGTTTGTCATAGATTCTGGTACTGAAATGACTGTGTATGTCAAATTTGAGATATAAGTCTAAAAATGAGGCGGAGGAAGCCGTGTCTGTTGTTTATTTAATTTCTAGGGGATATATTAATGGAACCCAATCAGAAAAGTTTGGATTGTTAATGGAAAGAACATCATCAATATATCTGAATGTGAAATAAATGACCTGGCTTCTTTGATCATTTGTTTTTGACAAGTGTCTGAAGGAAATCAAAGAAGAGGTCGGCAGGGATAACCGCACAGTTCGTTCCCATAGGAATGCCGGCAATTTGTTGACAAAATTTTTCCTTCAAATTCAACAAATATGTTGTCAATAAGAAACTGCAGCATACTGATTACTTGTTCCTCTGAAATCATTTCTTTGTTAATAAGACAAAGACAAAAAATCTTATAGATTGAAGCGATATATGTGAAAGGAAAAGTTTGCTGTTTCCACAGTTGAAAAAAGTAAATAACAAAAATACCGAACTCCGGGGAAAATTCTAAATGGAAAGTCAAAAGCTTAAACACATCAAACAAGTGGATAAGAAAGATATAGATATTATTCAAATTCTTTCCATCGTTTGTTTATTTTTTCATGTTTTGACGACTTTCAAATTACCATTCGTGCATTTTCCCGTAAAATCCTTACATTCATATGTCACCGTTCAATGACGTTAATTACAACATCTGACGTGAGGTAAATCATTCATAAACAGCATACGACGTGAGAGTGCAATTGAAACAGCCCAAACAAATCATGACGTTTCCTTATTAACTAACATGAATATATTCGAATTTCCCACACGTGTGTACTCAAAGCGTTTGAAGAACGTCATATTAGAATGTTTGTTATACATTTTTTTAATAAGTGTTAAATGGCTCTGTTTTAAGTCGCCTTCTGTTTGTTGTTGCCACCTGAGTATGCCAATCTCTTTACACGTTTGGTTGAAGACTTTAAAAAAGTTTTAAATTTGTAACTTTATATGCGTATTTCAACATTTACTTACCGCCTGTACCTACTACCTATTGTTGTTATTCGCAGACACGAATGAATGATATTTTAACAACAATTTCATACTTATTTTCGATGGAAACAAAATTTGATATAAGGAATTTTTAGGGTAAAGTAGTTCTTTAAATTTTTTTGGTCTATTTTGTGCCATCATGAATTCATCTAAACACCAAGTTGACCTATATTTTAATCATACAAACTTTGAAATTGTTTTCCACAGTATCCAGTTGGACAGGAACAGTCAAAACTACTACCAGTCGACTTGCATGTTCCTCCATTCAAACAAGGTGAACTGTGGCATGGTGTTCCTAAAAATATTGAAACAATTTTATTGGAAAGCAATCATTATATCAAAATATAAATTTCAAAAAGAAATGATTGTTTTAGATGCGATTATTACACATCTTGCGCAAAAGTAGCCATAACAAGGTTTACTATCCAATTAGTGTTTTCGTTGAGTAAAATATGTTCATTTTGACAAATATTTGTATCATCAATATTCAAGAGTATCCCTTTTTTCATCATAATGCGTTCTTTTTCTCGGAGTTGCGATAAGCACTAATAAACAACATGTTATCTTTATTTGTCCATCTGATAGCAATGATGTAAATTATCATATATTATAACGTTACAAACCTTGACATTGACTTCCAAAGTACCCGGTTGGACAGGAACAAACAAAACTACTTCCAGCTGGTGTGCATTTCCCCCCATTTGAACAAGGTGAACTGTGGCATGGTGTGACTTGAAAAATAAAAATAAAATCATTTGTGTACAATAATTGAATCAATATTATAGGATATATCGAGATAAGAATTGTTTCTCCATTGACCTCAATATTCACTTTTAGGATTTGAACAAGATTTTGTCACAAGTGATAATTGCCTGCATTTTTCGTGGTCACAACATAATCGTGAAAAAAAAAATCATTTCAAAGTTTGCATTAACAATAAAAAAAAAAAAAAAAAAAAACTGTCGTGTGAATGTAAGTATGTATGTTGAACAGTCCACTATTTATTCAGATCATGCTACAGTGGATACTGTAGCTACTTCTGATTGTTGTTGGATTGACGTTGATTATCATCTTGATTATGTGTTATAGTGTTCTTTATTTGTCTTTGTAAATTATAACCTGAACTGCTTAGTCCATTGTTTGTAATATCCCGTTAGGCGTGGATCAATACTAATACATCTTGTCATAGTGTTATTGTGCTATGGTAATTGTTTGTATTCTTGTCTTTCATTTTTGCTTGTGTGATTTGTCTATTTGTTATTCTGTTTTTCTTTGTTGACATGCATGTTTGCTTTTATAGTGATTAAGATTATAACACAATGTTGACTTCTGTATCCCTATTTTTGATATTGTTACCTATTATTTCTGGTTTTTTTATTCCCCCTTTGTTGCCAATATAATGAAATTGTATGCAACTGTCGTAAAAGTGAGAGGTTTAGCTAGCTATAACAATAGGTTTGATCCATCATGTTCTACATTAGGAAATTCCTGTACCAAATCAGGAATATGACAGTTGGTTTTTTTTCATTTGTTTGATGTGTTTGAGCTTTTGATTGTGCCATTTGATAAGAGACTATTCGTTTTGAATTTTTCTTAAAGTTTGGTCTTGGTGTTAATTTACTTTTTGCAGACATAAATGAAATGATTTTTTTTAAATAATCTTGTTCAATGGAAATACAAGTCTAATCTTTGAAGTTTTTGGGTAAAGTTGATGTAATATTTCATTTATTTGAAAATATTTTGTATATTTTGTGCCATCATGAATTAAATCAACTTTAAAGTTAACCTATAATTTGATAATACAAACTTTGACATTGTTTTCCATCGTTTCCGCTTGTACAGGAACACACAAAACTACCACCAGTGGGCTTGCATGCTCCCCCATTCAAACAAGGTGAACAGTGGCATGGTGTTCCTAGAAAAAAATACAATAATATTTATTGGAATGCAATCATTATATCAAAATCAATGGATATATCGGGATTATATGTATTGGTTCCTTGAGCTTTTACCACATTTGAAATTGAAATAACTGTTTTAGAAAACTTTGCAGTTACCGCCGTTATTACAAGCCGTACGCAAAAGAGGTCATCAAAAGGTATGTTATACCGTTAATGTTTTCGTTGAGTAAAATATGTACTTTGCATTTAAACAGATACCTATATCATCAATACACAAGAATATCGTTTTTTCATAAAAATGCATTTCTCTCTCGGATTGACGATTTATTCTAATAAACAAAATAAAATCCATATTTGTCCATCTGATTGCAATGATGAAATTTATCAAAAATTATAACGTTACAAACCTTGACACTGACTTCCAAAGTACCCGGCTGGACAGGAACATACAAAACTACTTCCAGCTGGTGTACATTTTCCCCAATTCGAACAAGGTAAACTGCGGCATGGTGTGACTTGAAAAATAAAATAAAATTATTTGAGTAGAATCATCAATATCCTAGGATATATCATGATTATAAACGTTGCTACTTTAATTTCAATATGCAATTTGTTGATTTGTTATAGTTTTATTCGAGTGCAGTCATTATATTAAAATACTAGGATATATACGAATTAAATGTATTAGTTCCTTGAATTCTTGACACATTTTGATTAGAAATAATGTTTTAAGAAATTTTTTCAGTTACCTCGGTTATTAAAAGCAGTGCACCATGATAAGCACCAGAATGCTTACCCTTCCGGAGTACCTGAGATCATCCCCAGTTTTTGGTGGGGTTCGTGTTGCTTATTCTTTAGTTTTCTTTGTTGTTTCATCTGTACTATTATTTGTCTGTTTGTCTTTTTATTTTTGGCCATGGCGTTGTCAGTTTGTTTTCGATCTATGAGTTTGACTGTCCCTCTGGTATCTTTCGTCCCTCTTTTAAATATGTCATTTGTGTTTTCGTAGAGTAAAATATCTACTTTTAATTATGACAGATGTACAATAATATAATTTTCGTCATTCTTTTCTCGGAGTGTCGATTACCTGTAAAAGACAAAATCAAATCTTTATTTTTTCAATTTGATTGCAAAAAAAAAAATAAAAATTATAAAAAACGAAACCAACCTTGACACTGATTTCCAAAATACATGGTTGGACAGGAACAAACAAAAGTACTTCCAGCTGGTGTACATTTGCCCCCGTTCGAACAAGGTGAACTGTGGCATGGTGTGACTTACAAAATAAAAAAGAAAAAAAATTATGTGAGTACACTCCTCAATTTTCTAGGATATATAGAGAGAAATGTTGCTACCTTGACTTCAATATTAAATTTGTTAATTTGAAATAATAGTTTAAGAGTACAATCATTAAATTCAAATTCAAGGATATATCGGGATAGTCTATTTTTTTACATTTTGACCTACTATGTCGGTTTGTTTTGTTCACACATCGTTGTCATTATCATGGAATTGTATGCGACTGTCATACAAATGAGAGGTTCAGCTAGCTATAAAACCAGGTTTCTACCATTTTCTACATAAGTCAATGCCTGTACCAAGTCATTAATCTGACTTTTGTTATCCATTCATTTGGTGTGTTTGATCTTTTGATTTTGCCATTTGATTAGGGACTTTCTGTTTTGAATTTTCCTCGGAGTTCAGTATGTTTTGTAATTTTACTTTTTAGATGTATTTGTTCCTTGACCTCTTGACACATTATGAATCAACATACTTTGTTAAGAAATCATTGCAGATACCTCGATAATTGCAAGCCATGCTAAATGGTAGGCACAACAATATATATTATACCATTTTCGTTTTCATAGAAGAACATTTGTACTTTGAATTTTTGACAGATGTATATAGCATCAGTAAAAAAGAATATCGTTTCCGTCTTCTTCTCTCGGAATGGCGGTTAGCTCTAAACCTTCATTCGTCAATCTGATTTCAATGATGAAATATTAAATATTATAACGTTAAAAACCTTGACATTGACTTCCAAAGTACCCGGTTAGACAGGAACAAACAAAAATACTTCCAGCTGGTGTACATTCCCCCCCATTCGAACAAGGTGAACTCTGGCATGGTGAGACTTGAAAAATAAAATAAAATTATTTGAGTACAATCATCAATATCCTAAGATATATCGAGATTAAACATTGCTACCTTGACTTCAATATTCAATTTGTTGATTTAACAATCTATTCGCGCAATTGATAACTGTCCTGCATTTTTTTTGAGATCACGAAAAAACCGGGAGAAAAAAATCAGTGCCAACATTTCCAAGTTTGCAGTTACAAAGAAACTGTCGCGTGAATGTAAGTATGTATGTTTAGCAGTCAACTTTTACTCAAATCATGCTATAGTTTAGAATGTACCTACTGCCGATTGTTGTTGCACTGACGTTGTTATTCGTCTTAATAACGTGTTATAATTTTATTTGTCTTTGTAAATTATTACTTTCACTGTTTATTCCTTTTTTTCAAAATATTCCATTTGGCGTGGTACGATACTTATACATCCCGTCATAGTGTTATTGTGCTATGGTAAATTTTGTATTATTGTCTTTCGTTATTGCTGATGTGCTTTGTCTATATGCTTTTTTGTTTTTCTTTGTTGACATATTTGTGTGTTGTATAGTGAGTAAGATTATGGTATAGATAATGCATATTTTAAGGTTTTTCTTGTCGTAGAACACACCGAGGGGTGTCAGGATTGATCAAATGAAAGACCGACCGTAGGGAGGTCTTTCTTTGGGCAATCGTGACACCCCAAGGTGTGTTCTACGACAAGAAAAACCTTAAAATATGCATTATCTGACTTATATACCTTCAAAAAGATATTGTTTTTTTATAAAGATTTGCAAAATTTAGCATCCTATTTTACCGACCACACTAAAGTGGGATATTCCTTTCTAATGCGTTCAGGTTTTAATACGCCCTACGGCTCATTTAGAATGTGAAATAAAACTCACTAATTAATCTAGATATAAACCTTAGAAATTATTATCCATACACAATAAAAATATTACTGTAACTGCATGAAGTTAGACATAAAATGAATTGTTACCATCTGATAACGGTGTATGAAAAATACAAGACACTTTGTAAGTAATTTATTGCACCAACTTAGTTTATGGAAAAGGGGAGGTGCTATGTTTTTTGTCGATTTGTTATGACATTTTATTGCGGTAAAGTGACATGTTCCACGAAAACGAATATCAATACATGTAGGTCACAGTATGATTTCCTATTCAGTGTGTATCGTCCTGAACATGCATTAAATATTTGCCACTGGACGTTAAAAAACCATCAATCAATCAACCTATTCAGTATGAATCAATAAGATTTTCAAAATCTTACACACGAATATGTTAAATCTGGCTTTATTTTAAAGTGCTATGAAAGTTTTACATTAAATTTCATCTCGCATATATGATAATGTCTCTGTATTGTAGCGATAAATTAACAAAACTTCACATTATTTGTTTCTAAAATTAAAACTAGGTTAATGACGATTTGTTTTACACCTATCATAGATTGAACTTTAACAAATAAATTCCCAAATCGGCAACAGAAACTATCAGACGAATATAATTTTGAAGTAAATTATAGTTTGCATTTTTATCAAGGAAAATAATGACCTCACACAGGTCATTATTTTATGCCTTGGAGCATATTTCATTGAAACATGGTATCGTCCGGGTTGATTCTTCGAAAGAATGACCTATCGTTCTGAAAGAAAATAACTCCATATAGGTATATAAAACACAATGTTGATCGCTGTACCCCTATTATTGACATTTTTACCTATTATGTCTGTTGAATTTGTTCACACATTGTTGTCAATATATATAATGGAATTTTATGCGACTGTCAGACAATTGAGAGGTTTAGCTAGCTATAAAATCAGATTAAATCCACCTTTCTCTACATAAGGAAATGCCTGCACCAAGTCAGGAATATGACAGTTGTTTTCCAGTCGTTTGATGTGTTTTAGCTTTTGATTTTGCCATTTGATAAGGGATTTAAATTCTTCTCGGAGTTCTGTATTTTTGATATTTTACTTTTCATTTATTTGAAAACATTTTTGCTATTTTGTGCCATCATGAATTGAATTTACCCCACAGTTAATCAATATTTTAATCATGCAAACTTTGACATTGTTTTCCACTGTATCCATTTAGACAGGAACACACCAGTGGGCTTGCATGTTCCCCAATTCAAACAAGGTGAACTATGGGATGGTGTCCCTAGGAAAAGATATTATTAGAATGCAACCATTATATCAAAATTCGTGGATATATCGGGAATTTAAATGTTGGTTTCTTTACTTTTTACCACATTTGAAATAGAAATAATTGTTTCAGAAAACTTTGCAGTTACTGCGGTAATAACAAGCCGTGCGCAAAAGAAGCCATCACAAGGTTTTTAATACCATCAGTGTTTTTGTTGGGAAAAATATTTACTTTCCATTTTTTACAGATATTGATATCCTCATTTGCGTTATAATAATGCATTCTTCTCTCGGAGTGGCATTTAACTGTAATAGACAAAATAAAATCTTGTAATGATAAAATTTATCAAATATTATAACGTGAAAAACCTTGAAATTGACTTCCAAAGTACCCATTTGGACAGGAACAAACAAAACTACTTCCAGCTGGTATACATTTTCCCCCGTTCGAACAAGGTGAACTGTGGCATGGCGTGACTTGAAAAATAAAATAGAATTATTTGAGTACAATCTTCAATATCCAAGGATATATCGAGATATAAAATGCTGATACCTTGACTTCAATATTCAATTTGTTTGATTTGAAATATAATTATTGGAGAGCAATCAATTAAAATCCTAAGATATATCGGGAATAGAAGTGTTGGTTCCTTGACTTCTTGACACATCTGGAATAAGAATAATAGTTTTTTTTTTGGGGGGGGGGGGGATTCTTTGCAGATACCTCGATAAATACAAGCTGTGTGTCAAGGTATGCACACCCAGGTGTATTATACCATTAGAGTTTAGTTGAGTAAAATATGTACTTTGAATTTTGACAGAGCTTTGTATCATCTATATACAAGATTACCATTTTCGTCATTCTTCTCTCGGAGTGGCGATAAGCTCTAATAGACAAAATGAGATTTTCCTTTGTCAATCTGATTGCAATGATTAAATTGATCAAATAACGACACCAACCTTGACATTGGTTTCCAAAGTACCCAGTTGGACAGGTACAAACAAAACTACTTCCAGCTGGTGTACATTTTCCCCCGTTCGAACAAGGTGAACTATGGCATGGTGTGACTTAAAAAATTTATTAAAATTATTTGAGCACACTCAATATCCTAGAATACATCGAGATAAGAAATGTTGCTACCTTGACTTCAATATTCATTTTTTTGGAGTTGAACACGCTACTCGTGCAAGTGATAATTACCTGCATTTTCTTGTGATCACGACAAAATGGGGAGAAAAATCATGCCAACAATTCCAAGTTTGCAGTTATAGAAAAAACTGTCGCGTAAATGTAAGAAGTAATGTTTAGCAGTCGAATTTTAATTCACACCATTCTGCCGTGCATAGCATTAATTGTAAGGGTTTCATTTTTATATATATAATTATATCTTCTTCTTGAAAAGAAGCCACTGTTTATCTTACGTGAAGACTGTCAACTGCTTTGAGAAGTATTCGTTCTGGAATGTTCTTTTCTTCTGTTTTTGTTTTTGTTTCTTTATGTTGTCCAAGTCTGTTTTTTAATGATTTATTTTTCTTTGGGCCTTTGTTTTCTACTGATGGTTATCTTCCCATTTTGGAAAACAATAACCTGATCTGATGTACCGCCATTTGAAATTGTATCATGTTCAAAGTCAAAGTTTATCTATATAAAGCAAGGGTGCTTTTTTGAGTTTTTGGTATATTATTTTAAATTTTAGACATTTTATTTACCGAGCCCAGAAATTGAGATGCTATCCAGAGATCCTTTAAATACACTTATTCTTAAAAGGTTACCAGATCAACACTGTAATTATATCTTTGAATATTGTCTTTATTGGTATTGATATATATATATATTGATTGTATTATCAGTTAATTGAGATCAAACTTAATATTATTATTATATTCATATGTACATTTATGGTTTACAATCTGTCTGCCTGTTTCTTGGCATTGTACAAGGTCATGCTTTTCTTTGACTGTTACTGACATCTTAAAACTTAATCAGTTACATGTTGGATGAGTAATGGGGTTGATGATATTTTAGTCTTAGATGCATGATTTTTTTATTAGTTGTTATTGGCTTTGAACAAGCTGTCAGTAACTGCTAGTACTCTCTGATCTCTACTTAGTGTCTTTTGTTGTTGGGATGTATTAGTACCCTGCCACGTCCGGTATGTGCCTTTGTTTGATGTATTTCTGTGTGTATCGATCTGATGAGTTATGTCCTTTTTAACCAATTTTTATAGTTTGCTGTACTGTAACACCACTTTCCAAGGTCAGGGACGGTTTGCGGGTTGAAACTAGTTTAACCCCGCCACATTCTGTATGCGCCTGTCCCAAGTCAGGGGCCTGTTATTGAGTGGTTACCGTTTATTGCTTTATATTATATCTGTTTTCGCATTGTTGAAGATCGTATGGTGATCTATATGTTAATTTCTATGTCAGGTGGTCTCATGATGAGAGTTGTCGCCACATCTTCTGATTTTTATATCAACTCCATTTAAATCTTTTAGTGACCAAATAAATAAGCAGTTTTTAAGGATCTGGTTTTCTTTGACACTGTGTCAATTGAATTGCATTAATTAAAAAAAAACCTCCTTTAGCCCCTGTACCTTTATTTGTCGAAAGACGGTTTATAGAGACAATTTCTAGTTTATTAATGTCCCACGTGAACCAATATTTCGTGTGTACTCAAATATGGTTTACCTGCTCAAATACTAAATTAAGGTCAGCTACTTTTGGCTCTACAGATAAAATAGAAAAATGGACATTGTTCAAAGGATAACACAAATTTTGCCAAACTTCCAGTCTGTCAGTAGCTGATTTTTGATCTATTGACCAAATCTCAATAAATTGTTTCTCTCATGCTATTGTGTATTGTGTATTGTCGAACCAAATATTGTTAATGTTGGACATATCGTGTTGTTTTTGACCCCGGCCTTTGACCTATTGATTCCTATGTCCCATAAGGTGTTTCTCTTTTTATTGGGCATTATCTCTTCAAGTTTGATAAATATTTCTTAATGGTTTGAAATATTTATCCAGATAGCGAAATGTTAGCACATCGAATATAATCTTACTATAAACCTAGTTGGAATTCGTCACTTATCTGCTAACAAAGTTTACAACCTTCACATCTTGATCCGCTGTATCCATCTGTACATGCACAGGTTGGTAAATTCCCAAGTGCAGTGCAAGTTCCATTGTAGAAGCAAGGTTCTCTAAAACACGCCGTTTCTGAAATAAAACAATTATATTATCACGAGACAATTGATATTTTCCAAAACAATTTAAAGCATGCGTCATAGTTATATCAACGTTATTTTTCAAGTAAAATATTGAAAAAAAAACAGTGATTGTTTTGGAAAATGTTTCAAAACCTCAGGGTGATTATAATCTGTGCGCGAAAGAAAGCACAACAAGGTATTTTATACTATTTGTAATTTATTGAGTAAAGCATGTGCTTATCATTGTGTTGGATGTTTATTTCATCAATTTACTAGAATATCCTTTTTCTCCATTTACAATGCGATTTTCTCTCGAAGAGTCAGGTAACTCTCATAGCCAAAATAAACATTTCATTTTTCAATTGTATTGCAGTGATTAAATTGTTATAATATCAATTCGGAAATTCGATATTACAATAAATAAGTATTTATTTAATATTATTTACACTATGACTGACCTTAAAGTCAACACTGAGTACTCCTTTTTCTACCTTGATGCATATAGTGCACAGTTGTGTATAGATGCATATTGCTTATTGCTTCTAACCGTGCGAGGCCCTCATAGATAGTTTTTAAAAAACCTCATAGAAAAAGTATAAATTTCGAAACACAATACATTGTAAGTTCTGAATGGATAGGTACATGATACCCAAGGAGACTATGGATATTTGTTTTCCTTTGTTCATTCTTCTGTCCACACTAGCTTTGTGTTATTTTTGTTTATTTTTGGCCGCTGTACGGCTTACGTCTACGTCATGTTTTTTTTTATTTGGATATAACCTATAACCAAAAGAAATTGTGACCCTTTCTTTTCACATTTTTATCCGAGCAATTCCTGAATTCATATAGTAACTCATATTATCTTTTCATACCTGTGCATGTTTATCAGATGTAGGTGTAAAGGTGCCTATTTTAAAGATCTAAATGTTGATGTCAGTATCAACCATGAGGACAATTGTGGCGATGGATATAACATGTATAATGCTACATTCCAATTTACTGGTAGCTTACTCGACAATTAGATTCCATTTATCCAAAAGAAAAAGAAAGGAAAAGGGTGTCCTTGTGTTTTTATGTCCACCTTTACCATGTCTACATATACAAGTATTTACCTTAACTTTCAGATCACAATATCCACCGGGAAAATAACATTAATAAATTTAATTTTATCAGATGGTTCTACCTGTATTTTACCTTGACATTCAGATCAAATACAACAAGCAGGTCAATCGCATCCATGACTTTACTTTCGTACACTACTTGTCCATTTATCGGTATTTACCTTGACAATTAGTTTCAAAATAACCAACAGGACAATCGCAATTATATGTATCATTTTGTATTTTACATTCTCCGTTGTTTAAACAGGGTGAACCGGTGCATGGTGTAACTGCAATGATAAGGAATAGTTTTGCTACTTTATCGTATGATTGTATATCAGATGATATTGCATAGGGTCTGACATGATATAAACATGAATTCAAGATTCTGATCATAAAACAAAGTCTGACTTTACTTTTCAAACAGAAGATTTATATCTTTCGAACAAACCTGCAAAACATGTGTTCTAAGATTCTGTTATCTTTAAATTAGGATTAATTTCGTTCCCGGAAAAAAAGAAGTAATATGCAAAAGTTTAATATTTTTCATAATTAAAATTTATTTACTGGTTTTTCATAATAGAAACTGTATTGGCGAGAGAATATTGTGTACTCTTTCGTGACATACAAGGGCTAGTTTGCCGGCCTATTAAAGAAAGTTATATTCATGTTTCTTTTATTTTTCATTCGTTTTAAGAAAAGAATTTGAATCTTACGTCATAGTGTAAGTTGTCCTGCAATTTCAGTTTAAATTAACAATTTCGGAAATATTATCATATAATACAGAATTTTGAATATATATCAGTATGTAAGACCTGCTACTGTACAAACTACAAAATCGTCGAAAACACCGTGCGTAAAATTATTTTGAAGTTGTATGCTTCAATTTGGTCAAATTAGTTTTGTTCAAGTTACCGTCATTTATTTACAATTTTCTTGACTATTGACTAATGTCTCACAGAATTCCTTGCGAACTTTTGATGTAGCTTATGAAAGGTAACCAACAGTTCTTTTTCACACCGAAGCATAGAACTTTTACTATTTTGGAATTACATTTTTGAACTCAATTATATATACGATGTAGAAAACTGTTCATCATAACAAGGGGGAAAAAGCATTTAATATATACGGTGGAATATTTAGTTTTCGATGGTACAATTTACGTAGATTGACGATAACCTCCATTTTCGTTTTCATCTTTACACACAAAAACATTAAAAGTGGTATCAAACACATAAAACAAATCCACAGTTTATCAAAGTTTGAATAAAATGAACGAAATGACGAATTTTTGCCATTGATTTTGGGTTTTTCAGCGTTTGCAATTGCAATAATTCTTTTTCAAAAAGTTTTCCACTGATACGAAATAAAAGATAATCTACCAGTCACTGATGGTAGTATACAGAAATATGTCCTAAATATATGTTTATATATTAGTTAGCTGATTTGTTTTGATAACGCATTTTCAAAACATTATATAATTAATCCAGTAGAGGAATAGAAATCAGTAGTCTCGTGATCAAATTGTGCAATAAACACAGTATCAAAGAAACTTTAAGTATTAGTTATATTTTACATGTCGAACAACAATGCAGATGCCTTGTTTTGCTTTGGTGAAGAAAAAACAAAAAGACAAACAATTGAGAAATCTCTCTTCTAAATTTTTACAATTCATGAACAATATTTATTTCAAAATTTCACCTTAAAGAAGATGATTTAAGTCACTCATTATACAACATGCAATATTTAATAATTATTAGTTATCCATGACTTTTCCACACCCAGTTTAAGAGTATGAATATTTTCTCTTAATTAAAATGGGAATGAACCATAAAAAATCAGATGTATATTTCTGTAAATAGTTGTTCCTTACAAAGAAAAAGGTTTTACTACCATTGTTATAGACATTTGTATTAGAGAGCGGGATCAGCCTCTGATTCGTTTAATTCAATTAATTTTTTTTCAGAATCATATAACAGTTCTTATTTTCTTTTATTTTAATTAATGGATGTGTAACGACTAAATGACGCTACACATGAAATAGAAGAATTACACAACAAAACTTGATTTTGACAATGCCTTCTTTACATGCATGTTGTTACATAATATTTTTTGGATGAACGCTATTACTCACTTCAACCAACTATTGATAATTATTAAGCAAATTAGAGTTACTCCCTTTTTATAAAATTCCATAAGAAAGACTTCTTTTGTCTATTTTCTCATTTACTGTAGAACAATGGTAAATACAGTTATCAGTTTAACTATTTTGTATGCTGGTTTTATACCTTTAAACTTTTCTATTGACTGCTGTACCCCTATTTTAGACATTTTTAACTATTATGTCTGTTTGTTGTGATCACATATTGTTGTGAATATAATGGAATTATGTGCGACTGTCAAACTAGTGAGAGGTTTTTTTCTGTATCAAGTCAGGAATATGGCAGTTGTTATCTACTAGTTCGTTTCTATCTTTTGTTTCTGTTGTTTCGTTGTTTTCCTCTTATAATTCATGTGTTTCCCTCGGTTTTAGTTTGTTACCCGGATTTGTTTTCTCTAAATCGATTTATGACTTTTGAACAGCGGTATACTATTGTTGCCTTTATTTAGCTAGCTCAAAAAGGCACGTTTAATCTACGTATTCTACGAAAATGCCTGTACC